CACATCCACTTCCGAAATACTGCGCGTAGCTGATGTTGTCCGCCACCACGCTTCGGAACACGGCCGCCGGTATCCACCACAACCGCATGAACTTATAAGTTCACGAGCACTGCCCTAGAGCTCTTGAACCCGATACGATGGCAAAGTTCCTGCATCTTGCTGCACCTTGTGCGCCAAACACAACATGCTTCGAGCAAAACGGGTCCGTGTAAGAGGTCCTGCGAAAACTCCCTCGGTCTGTTGCATGCTTCTCCACTGGAACCACATCAATAAGATTGCCAAAGCTACGCAACATCGCCCTGAAAGCATCTCTACCAAAAGCACAATTTAGACCGTGGGCGGCTAAAATAGCAGCGTGTCGAAAAGACCAATTGCCGGCAAAATTTCATCTTTGGTCGAAAATCCTTGATATTCCAATAACAAACAAAAACAAAACTGTCAGAACTGCGACTTTAACATGTTGTACCCACTGGCTCAATTTTTGCAAATGTGGAACATGTTTGCGATCTGTAATATCGGATAATCTTTAAACGCTGCGCACATTGATGTTAAAATTATGCATGTATTTATATACTGCACAACTCCCGCAAAAAAAGAACCTCTTGCATGATTTGAGCAAAAAATCAGCAAAAATAGATCGAAATCCTAGCGGAATATCATAACTAAAACATAGTTGTTTTGCATACGATTGAGAAAGTGTTTGATAGGTACAAACACACCTACATGTGTCTCTGCAGAGCCAAAGCTCACAGCAGTCGCCATACATGTTGCATCCTGACATGGCTGGCAACGGCGCAAAATCATTCAGGCTCTTTAATCCTTGCAAAAGTTCAAGTTTGCTGGCAACACTGTCACCTACTGGGGAGGCACCTGTGGCGCACACGTTTTCGAAGGGTTTTTCGGTCTCGAACATGAACCCGTCAAATCTGTCCAAATGAAGGTCGAAACAAGGTCCGGGATACTCTGGAGACTCCCACATGAGTTTGCCTTGTGCAGCTTACAATTTCGGTTTGCTCTCCGGGTTTCTGTTCTGTTTCATTGTGTGAATTCGTTACTCCATGCGACGTTTTAGTAAACCAGAATAGAAACAGCTGGTATAGTTTGAAGCAAATCGAAACGTCTCGGCGGCCCTGCAGAGTCGCGCGGAGTAGTGGGGCACGGAGTAGCTGAAACTGTAGCACTTGCTACGAATTCGTTACTCCATTTTGGTAAATCAGACTAGAAAGAGCTGGTATAGTTTGAAGCAAGTCAAAACGTCTCAGCGGCCTTGCAGGAGGGTTTAGGATAATAGCAACCCGCGTGCTTGTAGTTCGAAACCGCACGTTTGATGTTGTGTGTTGGGTTTAACGTTTTTTGCGTGTCAGAAGGTGCAAATTCCCCACAATTACTAGCTCTTTCACCACATCCTAAAACACTGCGTGAAACCGGGACGGACGGCGGAGTAAGCCTCTTCCCTTGCAAAAACTGGGATTCAAGCACATATCCCGCTTCAAATATATATGCTGCCATCGAGGAACAAGGGCCACTCTCCGTGAAAAATCTCGCTGGCAGCTTTGGGTCTTGCTTTTCACTTTGGTCCCAGGCCTCCAAACCACGTTTGTTGCCACTTTGGTCCCAAGCCCTCCAAAATCTACCGGAGCGTGGTGTCCAAAAGGTGTTGCTCATGCTCGGTGTCGAAAACATGCAAAACCTCTCAGCCCGAACTTGCAATACCATGATCCAGTAAGACGCGACGAATGCCGTTTTGGCACTGACAAGGAGCACAATCTTTTTTTTGATGCCAAAGCTTGCTTGTTTCAACTTTTCTGCAAACAAACTCCAGAAGAAGACGTTGTTTGGCAAAGACATGCCGGAAGACGCCAGCCGCCACCCCAAGCCCACTTCATGTCCCAACTCCGCGCCAAGACACAATTGTGCTTTTTGGCGTGGGCGGGCCTCAAAGACAGCAGTTGCTGCACTCGGTCCCAGTAATAACTACAAGAACTACAAGAATGAGAAGAAAGAGAGATGCACACTAAGGTGAAACGGGCTGCGACTTGCAGACTTCGCCGGCAGGCATCGTTCAGCCCTTGTTATGTTTCAAGTGCTAAAGCCGCTCAGAATCACTCTTCCAGACAGATTGGGTAGCACAATGGCGCACGTACGCTTGTGAAGGCCAACTTGCCAGGAACGTTGGGGCACCCATTGCTTTCAATGGCAGGAACTAGTAGAAGAGCATACGTCCTGTCTGGTGCCCGAGAAATAGGCCCGTTTTTTTGGCGTGGGCGGGCCTCGTCGACTACGGCTGTAGCACTCGGTCCCTACAAGCAAGACAAACCAACAAACGAACAAAAAACAGCGGTGAAACAGGGCGGCTCGATAAAAAGAGGCAAAGAGCTAGCTGCGGCGCACAGGCTTTGCCGGTGTTGGCCGTTCAGCACGAGCTACGGGGCCTCAGCGACCGATCCACGACAGCAGAAGGCCGTCGCCTAGAGCTGTCCAAGACCACCGGTGGAGCCCAAAGTCGGAGCTCCGGCCGCCGTTCTAGTTCCGTCGAACAACGGTCAGCCCCGGGGTCCTGTTGTGTCGCGATCGCGCACACAAAGTCCACAAGTCCACGGTGGAATCCACAACCAGCGGCAAGAGCCAGGAAATGGACCCTACGACGTATGTCGCTGGTCATAGATGGCTCTAGTCTCTGGAATGCGACGGCCTACACCGTCACTGGGTACAATCCAGTGTCGAAGGCCACGGCCAAGAATCCAGCAGGCGCTGCATGTCGTTGCCGCTGGTCGGAAAGTGGGATTCGCGCAACAGGTATAACATTTGGTAATTGCGCTGCTCATACAGCTCCTGTAGGCGGTAAAAACCATATCGGTGTGTATCTTGATCCGGCTCATGGAGATGCGGCATCAGCTCAGTAGAGATGAACGGGATTTGAATGCCTGGGCCGATTCCACCCCGTTCAATGAAGGCCTCCGCTTCGTCTCTCCAGCGTTCCTGGCCCCTAGGGTCTCCTAGCCGAAACCATGCGCGGCGTCCGTCGGGCAGGGTCTTATCGTTCGTCTCTTGGGCCACCAAGTGGTGGATGAGAACCTTGGCCCTCGTGTCCCACGCGTCGAAATGGGCGTGGCGCCACAGGCGCACCGGGAAATAAAAGTCCTTTTTCTGTGGACCTCTCAGCCAATAAACCACCACCGCGCTAAGATCCCAACCAGAGGTGGTAGCAGCCGCCCGAAGGCGCCACAGGGCAGCGTGCAGAAGGCCAGCGGACTGGATGGGAAGCGTGGGCGGCGCTTGCAGGACCCAAGGGGACATCGTCCAGCGGGAGCATGAGTCTAAAAGTGCCCTTGCACACGCCCGGGTATGAGAACATTTGGGGGTCGAAGTCACCACGCCTAGCAGGGAGAAGCCCACGATGGAAGCCTTCCATCAGCCGTGCGGCAATAGCGATTTGGGGCTGCCCACAAGGGAGGCAGGCACGTCCACCTTAACCCGTACCTCAAGGAAATGCAGGTCATTCTGACAGACTGGGGAGATGCTCACGAGTTGTAGCAGGGGGGCTGCTTCAGGCTCATCCACCAGGGCCCGTGCAAGGTAGAACAACAACTGCACCACAATGAAGCAAGGGGGTGCCCTGATTCGGGTCCATGCTCGAGCCTCCCTCCCCCGTTGCTCGCCGGACGCTTGATCCAGTGCCACGGCGCCTGCCCGTAGGCAAGGGAGGTCTCTTGGGTGCCAGAGACATTTGGATAAGACTACCATCTCGGACTGGTGACTTATGACCTGCCTTTGGGGAGCGAGAACTTGAGACCATCGAGCTCGTCCAAGCAAAACCACCACCAGATCTCCGGGCGAGCCAACTCGTACCACGAAAGGTCGAAGACACGCCCTTCAGGTAACCGCAACACAGGGTCGCAAAACTGCGCCAGCGCAATGGAAACTGCCAGCAAGGGAGTGAGGCACACTCGGAAAGCCTCACTTTCCGTACAGTGACGAAGCATTAGCGCACGATCTGCAAAATCGACCACTCTGGCTCCGAAATTCTGAGGGCTGACCTTAACTTCGCACGCCGGCAAGGAGAGGGGCAGCGAAAGAAGGGAAAGGCAGTCCGTCCGGTTGGGGAGCAGTTGGCGCAGCGCAGCCGCGCTTGCAGGGCCGTCAATTGGCGACTGCTGCCTGCCCTTGGCCTGGTAGCTGCGGAGGATGTCGTGCTGCTCCGCGAAGTCATCCTCATCTTCAGGCGGAACGCAGTTGCTGGAAATGGCGGCGACACCGGGCAACAATCGGCTAGGCGGGTATTACGAAGCTTGGCGGTCAAGTCAGGGTCCTCTTTAGCCGGAACGCCATCCTCCGCTTAGCAAATCCGGCGGTATCGTAGAGGGCACCCGGTAGGCCCGTTGCAGCAACCAGCGGGAGAAGGGCCTCAGGCTGGTTCGAGTTGCGCAGCAGCGTAGAGACAAAGTGCTGGAGCCGCCCCAGCAGCGTCAGGTTGACGGTGGCCGAGGCAATAGCATAAAGATAGAATGCGCCTGGCACAGCCGCAACTAACATGTCCGTAGCCCCTAGCCCCTCCCGTAACCCCTTTGGCTCAAGGCGTCTCGGCTCAAGGTTTCTGCAACTTGTGCCGATCAGGTGAGCTTCAATCGTTCGTGCTGGTCCCTCGCTTGACCTCTCAAGTAAGGGGCCCCTTTTCAGGAGCCGATAGACGGCACGGATCCGACCTTGGCGGTCGCATGGAAAACCGGTGCTGAGTGCACCTTCGTGTGTGTGATTCGAGCCCTACCTTCAGCTTCCCTGCGCGACTCGCTGCATTGGCAGCGGAGCACGGTTGCTCCAAGGACCTAACTGGCTCCTAAGGTGATTCCCTCCTCTTCGCGATCGGTGGTGCCAGTCTGCCTGCACTTGGAGTCACCTCAGAGCTACGATTAGAGAGCTCTGGAACCCTTTCTCCGGGAGTTCAACTTGACTCCCCACGTTCACTACGACTTTGTCTTCAAGTTTTCCTTTTCTTCTTTGACATGTCTGGCCAAGGCGACGTTGGTGGCTCAGTTCCTGTATGGGATGGTGCAGCTCGCAGCTGGCGGAGATATACCAGGGAAGTGGCGTGGTATGTTCAGAGTACTGCGCCACACAAGCGTCGGCACTGTGCAAGCCGATTGATGGGGAAGCTCAGTGGACCAGCGAGACTGCTGGCAATGTCATGGTCACATGCTGCGTTTGACTCCGAGGACGGCACGCGCAAGCTCTTGCAGAGGCTTGCATCAAGCCCCTTGGTTCGGAAAACGCTTCCGAATGCGGCAGCGATCTGCCAGCAGTACTTTTCGTTCCGACGCCATGTCAATGAGTCGATCGGGAACTTCTTGGTCAGAGAGACGCTGGTCCATGAGGAGTTCCAAGAGGCGATCATAAGGTTGCACGAAGAAAAGATGGGAATCACTCAGGAGTCCAAGGACTTTGGCCTACCTCCCGTTCAAGAAGAGGACTGGAGTGATGAGACATGGGGCGGCTCATGGGAGTCGTGGTGGAACTACGACGAGGACTACCTGGACGAGGGCGGCGATGATGATGCTCAAGGCGGTGACGATCCTCCTGAAGGCCAACCTACTACCCCGACGGCAACTGGTGTTGGCGATAGTGGAACCCGCGAGCCAGGCGGACCAACTCTGCCAGGTGCTACTGGATCGTCCCCAAGTCATCGCGAGGATCCTGGTGATGAGCGACAAGCCGATCCCTCGACTTCTCCTTCACGACGAAGCGCTGCGAAGCATCGGCCACCTCCGATGCCACAGACAGTGGACGAACTGTCCATGACAGACTCGTTCATCATGGGAGTTCTCCGTGGATGGCGACTACTCCAGGCGGCAGGTCTCACAGCAGAGGAGAAGCGGGACATCCTTTCCACAACCCGCAACAGCCTGGACTATGAGGTGATAGCCCAAGCTCTACAAGGACTCTGGGATGAACAGCTTCTTGGTCATCGGTACTCCAGCTCGCCACACTCCCAGGCCTACTACATGGGTGCCGATGAAGGCGAGGCGTTCTACCATGAGTACAACGACGACTGGGGCACCGAGGACGACAATTGGAGCGAGGGCTACGCGTACTACCACGACTACGAGGACAACTTCGATGATCCTTGGTGGTACGGGGACACTGACTACAGCTACCAGGCCACCGCGGACGACAGCGAGCCCATCGACGATGAGAAGTACAAGGAGGCCAAACAGGCGGAGAAAGTGGCGGAGTCTCTGGCACTGGAGGCTCAGAGGACATGGGCAGATGCCCAAAAGGCCACTCAGGCCTTGAGACGAGACCGAGGCTTCGGCGCATCCGGCGCTAAGGGCCACTTCTCTCCGGGCAAGTGCTATGCCTGTGGCGGCAACCACTTCATTCGCGACTGCCCGACAAAAGGCAAGGGGAAACAGCGATCCTACATGGCCGATGCGGAGGACTATGGCATGCACTACGTTGGCAAGGGCAAGTCCAAGGGCAAGGGAAAGGGCAAAGGCAAATCTGGTCTTTGGCTAGAGAGCTACGCGGCCTGGAAAGGCAAGGGAAAGTCCAAGTTCAAGGGCAAGGATGTACCAAGGACTGTGAATGCCTATCATGCTGGCGCCGATCCCTACAGCCTTCATGGACTTGAGCTTACCTCAACAATGGAAGCAGCATCGGCGACGTCGGCCAGCCGCACTCCGGAAATGGGCATGCTGGATTGCGGTGCCACAGCCTCGGCGGCACCTGAGGCCGTAGTGAAGGACCTCATAGCTGTTATCCTGTCTCACGACAAGCAGGCAGTCATCGAAGTTGACCAGAGCTCGCGGCCATACTTTCGGTTTGGTGATGGGAGATGGGGACGTGCTCTGTATAGACTACATATTTCTAGTGACGTGTCAGGACAGAACCACAGCTTTGCCATCTATGCGCTACCAAACCCTGCTGAGTTCTACAAGTCCAACTTCGATAAAACCAATTTAGTGCCCATCCTGATCGGAATGGACTTTCTTGGCAAGCAGGGACAGTGCATGATAGTAGACTTTTCGACGGGGTTGTTCGTCAACACTCACGAACCAAATCCTCAAGCTGAACGTCTTCATGAAAATCATAAAGGACACTACATGCTCGACCTGTGTCACTACATCACTCGCGGTCACAAACGTCAGGATGGTCATGCTCGAGTTGTCGTATTGCCTCCAACAGTAAGCCGTTCCAGCGTTCCCGAGGTGCATGTGTTAGAGCTCCACCCTGTGCAGTTTGATCTTACGGTCAGTGATGTTGAGTTTGATCAAAGAGAGCTGGAACATTCCTGGCAGAGACTGCTACAGCTTCATGCACAGTCAAGACAGCTACAAGGACTTGATGCTATGACCGCAGCTGCTTCAGCATCAATGTGTCGAGCTTCAGCTCAACAGACGACCCCGACAACTTCCTCTCCGACTTCCCTCTGTGATGGCGGCGCTCTCCCCTCCGGAGGAACAGGCGATGGTGGCGACGCTGAGAACTTCAGCTCCCAAGGCGAAGGCCAAGCCATTGGACCCTTCTCGTGCAATGAAGGGCGATCCGCGGGATCCCCGGGCGGATGCCAAGACGTGGCCGTGTATGGGACGTCATGTACCAGGACCTCCGGGCGCCAACAATCACGGCCAATGGCAGCATTGCGCTCGGTGCGATTTCAGGATGAGCTACATCCCCCGTCAAGGATCCAAGGGACAATTCACGGCCACCAAGAATCCAGAGATGGTGGCTCGAGCACTCCGAGAGCTACGACCACTGATGGGAGACTTTGCTCCCACGGCAACGATCGTGAGGGCGATGCAAGCCAAGGTGGATGCAGAAGAAGTTCTACGCAATCACATTCGCGACCTACAGGCGAGCTACGCGGAGCCCCAGGGATATCCCAATCAGCTGGAGACAATGAAGCCAACTACATCAAGGACTTCGGCAAGCCCCGCGACACCCTCTTCGACCAGCAGCTGGCAGGTGACGAACCAGACGGAGATGAACTCTGTCACCATGGCGGGCGGCTACGAAGCAATGGACAACCAGCAACAGCCGTAAACTCAAGAACTACTTCTAGAACGACTCGGCCCCTGAGTGTTGGTCTGGGCAACAAGGTGATGAATGCCATCACACTCATGGCTACGATGGTGTCATCTCTGCTGGTTGGACTACATGTTGGTGATCGAGATGGCCTTTGGGAAGTGACCTGTGCTCCCCACTCGTGGCTCAGTCAGGCGGCGCAACAACATGAACTTCAATCCAGAGTGATCAGCCTCCACAACGGCTACGACCTCTACAAGCCCGAAACTTGGGAGCGATTGCGCGACCTCCGTCGGCGTCGAAGGCCGATGAAGATATGGTTCAGTCTTCCGTTCTCCAAATGGTGTCCGTGGAACTACATGAACTACAAGCGCGATGGACGGGAAGAGCAGCTGGAAACTGCACGAAGGCGAGAGCGCAGGATGTTGTGGCATGTCAACCAGTTCATCAAGGAGACGCTTTCTGCCGACCCCCAGGTGATGATCTACTTCGAGTGGCCAACGCAGTGCGTTGGCTGGAAACAACGACCTATGGAAGACCTGTGGGACTACATGGATGGGCAAGGACAGGTTTGGGCAACCTGTCGAGTGGACGGGTGCCGCTACGGACTACGAGACGGTGATGAAGGCGGCTTCCTACGAAAGCGCTGGACTATCAAGACCAACGACGAGAACTTCCACAGAGTGTTCCGGACTAAGGTGTGTCCGGGAGGACACTTCCATGCTCACAAGAGTGAGTCTGAATGGTCCATCGACACCTACTACCCTTGGAAGCTGGTTCAGTCTGTGTGCCGGTTTTGGCGCGATTCTCTTGTTCCTACACGACATCTACGACTACTACAACGAAGAGACGATCTACCTGTGGATGTAGATGCCGCTGAGGACAACGAGTCGGCACCATCGGACGCCAACTACGTGAACTTGGCCGAGGACTATGGCTGTGAACACGAAGAGCATGGAAGTGATGATCAGTTCGAGATCAACCTGAGGGAAATGGATCGATTATCCCTCAAGGCACTTTTCGAAGAAGCCATGCACAAGGAATGCTACTCCTTCAGCAACCTGGAAGTCCTGATGACCGAGTTCTTCAATATCTACGATAAGATCCATCAGGAACACAGCCGATGGTCACCTGGACATGGATGCGCTGTGGCCTTTGGTGGCTACTCTCATGGCGCCTTCTCGGGAGTCAGCAATGCCACCGACCGGTTTGACTTCCTGGTGAAGTATGTGAACGGCTTCTTCAAACATCATCACCCTGAGGCTCTTTGGTCCAGCTTTATGCTCAACAGGAACTGCAAGAGCCTCCCCCATAAGGACCACCACAACTACAAGCTCTCAGATAATGTGATGTGCGGATTTGGACGCTACAAGGGTGGCGGCCTGTGGGTGTGCAGAGTACCGAGTGATGGTGATGTTGTCAAAAGACGACGGCTACCAGATGGGACAACCGTCAAGGGCATCATCAAGGACACCTTCCACCAGTTTGTTCGATTCCGACCAAGTGAGCTCCATGCGACCGAGATGTGGACCGGAACCCGGATGGTTTTGTCCTTTTACACAACTCGATTAACACCATGGCTGTCCCAGGTCCATCGTCATCAACTACAAGCTCTTGGATTTCAGCTGGCAACAGAGCCATACGCCAGTCAGACACATTCGACACCACCATCACAATCCTGGGGCACCAATGAACTTCAGAATGTTCAACTACCAGACGTCAGTCAAACACATTCGGCACCACCATCACAATCCTGGGGTACCTCATGTTTTCCGGTCGTCACTGGTACAGAGTTGAATCCAGTCACCGAGGATCCACTACCAGAAGGCGTCGACAAGGTCGAGTACCAGAAGTGGCAGGCGCAGGTCGCAAAATTCCACAAGGCAGCAGGTCACCCTACGAATCGCAATCTGGCTCGCATCATCAAGGACGCCGGCCATCCAGATTGGAAGGTACAGATTGCGAAGGAGTTCTACTGTCCTAGCTGCGAAAGCCTTAGACCTGGCGGCATGAGTTCTGGACAGGTTCCCCCGGCCAGTACGCATAGTCAATTTCAGGCTTGGGAGGCCATTGCGGTTGACTCTGCAGAGTGGATACCACCGGGCAAAAAGAAGAAGGTGAAGTTTCTCCTGTTCATGGATGTGGCCACCAAGCTACGTGTGGCCCATGTGCTGTACCTCTGCGACTTCCTTGAAATGCGAGCCGAGTCTGGAAGTCACTTCGTTGAGGCCCTCTCCGAGAGATGGTTGAGTCTGTTTCCGCGACCTCGAGTGGTGATCTTGGATTCCGCCAAGAGTTTCATGTCTGAGCAGGCCAGCAACTTCTTGACGGACCTGCAAGTGTTGGTGCACTACGTTGCCGAGAAGGAGCCATGGGCCAACGGGGTGATTGAAGCGGCTATTCAGGACGTGAAGCACACCGCTTCAGCGATCTACTTGGAAGCGATGGATGTGGATTTGTCAGTGACTCTTCACATGGCTGTCGCCGCGCTGAATGCCACGGAGTTTACCGCGGGCTACTCGGCACATCAATGGGCCTTCGGAGCTTCCCATCAACCTACTGATGAGGATCGGCAATCCCTGGAGCTTGTGGATCCCAAGAGTGACTTTGCTCGTTTGGTTATTTGCCGACAACAAGCCGAGGAGATAGCGCGGAAAACCAAGGCCAAAAGAACCTTGATGAAACTCCACAACAGCAGTGTTCGACAACCTCTACGACAATTCTCACCACTTGATTTGGTCAAGGTGTGGCGCAAGGTTTGGCCAAAGGAACAACATGTGGGGCCACGAGGTGGCTTCAAGAAGTCCGGCCGACCGCATTGGATCGGGCCAGGACGTGTCCTGTTTCAGGAGGCGCTACCGCACCAAAAACAAGGCGAAGATCGAATGCATGTGGTGTGGGTCTTAGTTGGCAGTCAACTTCTACGTTGCTCCGTTCACTCAGTGCGGCCTGTCACTGAGACTGAAAGATTTCAGCATGAGATCACCACGGAGGAAGACTTCACCCGCTGGCGATCACTCGCCGACGTCCTACCCAGGAAAGAGTACACCGACCTCATGGATCAGACTCCGAATGAAGATGAGACAGAAATGCCAAACCTGCCCGAGCAACCTGACAGCACAACCACTGTGGTTCCTCATCGACGTCTACGGCAAAAGGTGACCTACCGACCCGGTGATTATCAACATCAACCGGTGAATGAACGACTTCATCGTCAACCTTCTGATGGAGAACAACTTGAACCCACGACGGCAACCTCATCTACTACACCAGTGATGGTTCCCCCGGAACCACAAACTCTGGACGATGTGAACGAGTACCTGGAGCCTGAGATGAAGCGGGCACGAGTGGATGAGGATGGCAACATCATGGACTATGATCTCCGTTGGACTCAGGAGCTCGAGACGAGTGAGCCCCAACCGGAGCCCACCATGGATCTTCACGCCGCGATGGCCGATACCAAGGAGTTCCTCAAGATCGAGATCGATCTGCCTACAGAATGGTCCCATCGACAGCGAAAGAAGTTTGAACGTCATCCAGTGGCGTTCTTGGTGAAGAAGATGAAGGACTCCGAAGTCAGCTTGACCCGCCTCTCACCAGCTGAGCGTGAGCTGTTTGTGCGTGCCAAGGCCAAGGAAGTGGACTCGTTCATCAAAAATGAGGCTGTGCGCAAGTGTGTGGACTCCCAGGAAATCCGCGAGGCCTACGACTCCCAGAGAATCGTCAAGGCCCGATGGGTGCTAACCTGGAAGTTGGTACCGCCAGAAGATCGCGAATCAGCCATGCAAGATGCAACCGAAAATCCAGGAACTACCTTGCATGACAAACAAGGACGCCGCAAGGCTAAGGCACGGATTGTGCTGCTTGGATTCCAGCATCCGAGCCTGCTTGACCCCAGTTTCAAAACAGCAAGCCCAGTGCAGTCGATGGTTGGGCGAAACCTACTGTACTTAATGGCTGCTCAACATGGCTGGGAACTTGAAGGACTGGATCTGGCCACGGCGTTTTTGCAAACTATGCCTACCGAAGCAGATGCAAGGTTATGGACAACGGGCGTAGAAGAGCTACGACAAGCTCTTGGAGTCGATTCCGAAGGTATACTACGGATCCTTCGAAATATCTACGGCAGCACCACCGCTCCTCGAGGACTTTGGTTGGACCTCCACAAGACCCTGACGAGCCTTGGAGCAATTGCGATAGTGGGAGAACGATGCCTTTGGATATGGCTATCGCAACATGAACGCGACGGAGATCATCCAAGGACCATTGGCGCCATGGGTGGCCATGTCGACGACTTCCATCGCATTGGCGACAACGACAGTGAGGAGTGGCAAGCCATTAAAGAGAAAGTCAACAAGGCCTACAAGTGGGGCATGACGAAATTCAAGAACTACCGTCACGCCGGCACAGACGTGAGCACATCAGTCGATGCCCACGGCAACATGAAGATCACCGTGGACCAGGACTACTACGTAGAAGGCCTCATGGATGTGGACATTCGGCCTGACCGACTGGCCATGGATGGCACGATGAATGCTTCAGAAGTTGCGGCATGCAGGACGGCACTCGGCGCCCTGCAATGGTTAGCAATACAAACCCAGCCGCAGCTCTGCAGTCGATGCAATCTGTTGCTGACCGAGGTAGTGACAAAGGCGCAGCTTCAAACTGCGCGTGAAATTCAGCAGATGATTGCTGAAGTCCGCAACGAGAGCTGTCGCCTTGAGTTCTTCAAGCTACGCACCGTGCGACACTGGTCAGAGATCGTCTTTGTCTCCATGGGTGACCAGGCACACGCCAACAGGGACAAGGGAGATTCCACAGGGGGTCTTCTTACGCTCGCTGCTGGACCAGAAGCCCCACAAGGCAAGGTATGCCCTATGTGTCTCATATCCTGGAAAACGTGGAAACTCAAGCGCAAGGCCATTGGAAGTAACGATGCTGAGGTTCAATCAATCCTTGAAGCAGAAGACCAGAACTTCCGCATAAGGCTGCTATGGACCGAACTACATGGCCGAGGT